TATATATATGTATATATTTTTTGCTATAACAAGTACCACATATTAGCCATGACGTTCACACATTTGTATGGTTTGCCTCCTCACTAAAAAATATAAGGCAAACAACTAACAAAATTGCCCAAGATCACACTTGGACTCATATGCAAATGAACATAATCATCACATATACAGAATCATGCATTTATCCTAGAGTTGGAAACTCAGCATTCAGTTGCATAAGATTTAAACTAGAGACTTTACAATTAAAACTCTAGTTCTTGGGAGTTAATGCCTCTTCTTTTGTCTTCACCTTCTTATCCCCTGGAAAACATTAAGTAATAGGAGTGAGATTAAATAATCTCAATAACTAAAAAACTTAACAAGAACATATCAAAGTGTGGCAATTACATACAATAATAACTTAGTATATACAAACACATCATCACATAACTCATGATTTATCATGGCTTGTAGTATTATGCCATGACATATGGCATAGAAAGGGCATTCTAACCTTTGTGCCATGAGCCACAACTTGCGCACATTGCGCTACGATATACATGCCCTGTTATAATAACTTTTTGAAGTAAAATTCAAACGTGCATCATTTTCACATCTGATGTCCAATTGAAGTAATTCAAGAGCTCACTAAGAGTTTATTTGATAATTTAGCTAACAGTACAGTTTCATTATGATTTAATATCGTATAAAGTTAGATTTTAAAACAAATTGATGCATCCAAGAGCTCAAAACACAAGCCCTATACCATTAGCCCATCTCGAGGCTTAAACGAAATCCAATAGACTAATAAACACTTGATTAAACAATAAAACACAATATATAACATCAAACACATGTTTTGACCACTTATGCCCTAATTTCACATAACAAAGCCTATCACCACAGTATCACACATCACCATAACTTAGCCAAATCACTATAACACTTTACCATAAATCATCATTAATATACACATGCATGTCAATTTTAGTTCCACTATATCATATTTCTCAAAACACCATTATAGGCTAAAATTTCTCCAAATATATCATTTATACAAGCGTAATGGATTGCATTACATATATTTACATCATACTTGCACTTTTACTAGTATTACAACACTTTCACCACATGTATCATCAGCACATACAATGCTAGGTTGAAATACAACATACACATGATTTCATACAAGTGTACTATCTCAAAAATGTTATGCATTTCTAGTTGACAACTCAAAATACTTTGTAATTACAAATATATACACAAACCTAAAATATAACTTTAGCATTATACTATATATTTATAGCTAAATAGTTATTCCTTGCCCAATTCTTTCCCTATTTCTCTCTCTAACTCAAAACCTGTAAAACAAAAACCATAAAGTGAGATAAACATATCAATAACTAGGATAATCTATACTATCGATTAACATGCAAAATTATAAACAAGTTACATAAATAGATATTTAAAAGATACTCGTAAAGGAAGTGACAAATTGCCATAATATCATGCATGATCCTATCTATTCAAACCTCTAGTACTCCCAATTAAACCTATAGGCTACCTTACAAGACAAAAACTATATATCTAGTTAGAGCTTACCTTTCATAGTAGAACTGCCTATCCAAAAGCTTCATAATCCACTTTTAGACTACAATCTTCCCCTATTACAAGTAATCAAGGTGTTGTTAATCTAACACCACATCTTACAAATGCTAAGTAGCATAGTTCTCCAACATTGTACTCTTTCAAGCATTACCAAGAGTATACACTACACATGACACCTTGAGATGTCAATGGTACCATATAAATTTTAATCACCACTATCTCCAATTGGGTAAGTTCCTACCCTTACTAAATATATACTATAAATCACCACTAAGTCATGCATATGCAATTTCCTACAATCATTATCAATTTTCCATATTACCATGCCAAATAATCATGCTTTACTGTCTATTTTAAAACATAACTACTACTTTTACCTTCGATTTAAACTACAATTTAGCAAGCCATGACTTTATGCCTTTCAAAAGCATTCTACTTTGTAAAGCATATACATATTTAAGTATAATCTACTTTGTACTAATGCTACTGACTCGTAAATAACTTTACAAGCTAATAAATAATATAAATTATTTGGTTATCTCAACCTCTTTGTCACAAAAAGGGTCACCTATGGCACATATTTGTTATAGTCACTTGTTTAACCTCGAAAGTATTCCTAATTACCCAATCTAAAATATAAAGCACTATATGTTAATTTCTCAACTTAACATAAGTACTTTTAGCTAAATTTAACCCAATTTCACCACTCACAATCCATAACCCTAACGATTGAGCTAATAAAAGCTATGACCAACTCTCACTATTATCTTGAATCCCTACTTGGTGAAGTTACAACATAAATCAACTCTTACAACCCTAAAAACTATAAATTTTGGTTATGCCTTCCCCCAATCTCAAGCTCCTATAATCACATCACACAAAACCACTTGCCCTAAGCTCAAGGAACTTAGATCAAGCTATTAGAATCACATGCAAGCCTTTACGTGTGGATCTCTAGCTTTTTCAATTTATATCAAAACTTCTCACTCTCAATTCTTATGAAATCAAGATGACAAGATAGAAGGAAGAGGGAAGAGGCTTACCAAAGTGCTTGATAGTACAAACCAATCTCCAAGGCTATACCTAGTCTTGCCCTAGTAGAGACCTTTCTCTTCTTCCTTGTGCTCCTCCAAAAATTAAAGTTTTCTTCTAATTTTTTTCCTAAACCATGACTTATTAACCTAATTTAAGTGCCATGCAATGCGGCATATAATGCAAATGCCACTGTGTATAGCACAATGAGAAAATTATCACTTATCTCATTCTATCGAATCCAACTCTAACCCTAGTCCATCCTTAAAGTTGTCCAATAGTTCAAAACATTAATTAACAATTCAAAAAAATAATTAATTTAATTAATTTACTAATTATTGTTAATTAGTAATTAAGTTTCAAATTAGAAAACTTTGAATGTTATACTTGATTATGAGATAAGTTAATCAAGTTTGCATTTATGACATGATATTGGATAACATGAGCATATTGCATGATCATGGATGGGTGGAAATTAACCCAATTAAGTGAAGGCAATATAGAAAGGTATAACCTCTATCAAGATTTGGACATGGTGGTTGGCATATTTGATTAAAGTGTGTTTATATCCATTGTCCCTTGGGAATGGCATATGTAAGCATGCCATTCAGGATCACCAATTTCCTAGGGGGATGGTAGGAGTCAAGTGTAATGACATCTCTCATTAACCACACTTAAACTTGATTAATAAAACCAACCCTTAAGAATAAGGATCAGCCGTGGCTAAAACTAATTAAATCAAAGTCCTTAAAACTATTTTAGAAGATTGGGATTCCAAAATTATTTGAAAATAGATTACAAAACAACAACCATTGAAAATGCATAAAATCATAGTAGAAGATATCATGGAAATGTGGAAATTGAAAGATCATATAAAATTGAGTCAACAAAGGATTATGAACCAACATGGGTTATGACTTCTTAGTAGAGTTTTATTACTTAAATGTACTACTTTAAGGAATCACTTGAATATTTATAAATACCTCTCACTATCACTCATTTTGGGAAACTCATTACCTTTGTCTTTAAGTGAGCCAAAGATAAAGTCAAATTATCACATTGTAAAAAATCATTTTTGTCTTGACTTGAGTCTTGGTAGTGCAAACCATACTCAAAGGTCTTTATTGTATGATGAAAGAAATTCACCATTAACCCAACTCACACCCGAAGACTAAAATAAGTGGGGGTGAATTAAGTCTAAAGGAGAGTAGTGCTCACACTTTGAAGATATCATGCACAGTTTCTTCTTCGTCTCTACATCTTTTATTTTTCAAAGAGCCATTTCTACCATCATATGCATTATGATATTTTAGTTGTAAATTCATGACAAGCAATTATAACTATATATAGATATATATAATGAGAGGAGAATGATATTTTTATGGACTACACTTACAATCGATCCTCACGAATTTATAATTAGAAAGTTGCATTTACAATTGAAATTATGTTGTTTTCAATATACCAAGTATATAAAATTGGGGCAATATAGTCTTTTCACAGTCCTATCAAATTATATAGCCAAGTTTCAAGAGACTTGGCTTTATGTGTTTATGAATTCGAGGGACTTGGCTATAATTAAGTTTCTTATTCAAGACTTGCACATAACTCCTTCATAATAAATTTGATGAGAAACATTTTAAGGAAAAATTTGAGAATTCAAATTCGAATAGCAAAATATTGAAAATATAGAAATAAATAAAAAATAATAGTAGAATAAAAGAGTCTTGAAGCCCAATACAAACAGCAACTGTTGGGACTTGTAGATAATAAACTATAGAAAGCAACTACGTTATTCATGACATGATGGAGTTTGTTACTCATTTTCATAGCAAGAAAATCCGATTGGTTGAATCATTAAACAGTTAAACTATTATTTTGACCAGTTTAATAAAATGACTATTTTTTACTACTTTGATATGATTTGATTACAGCTTTGATGATTAACTCTTAAACTAGTGCCTTGATCAGTTTAATGACCAATCCGATTTTTAATACCTTGCTTATTTTAAATTTATTTTACCAATCATTCTCAACAAGTCACCCAGTTTGTTACTACAAGTATTGTCGATCGTTTCATAACAAACAAGCATGGAACTTGATGAAATGGTTACGAAACTGAAGATTCCATCAAGTAAAATAATGAAAAGATAACAAAGACGTTGAAAAGGCAAAACCAAAAACGAGAAAAACCACACACAAGAACACACAACGCATTGGTTCTATGGGCTTCGCTTCATCATTTTCTGCAACAAACCACTCAAAACAGTTTCAGAAACCACAATATATATACACACACACCATGTTTGGTTTCTTTGAAAATCAACAGAGAGAAATAAGAAATGGGTACGTGGAATAATAATAAAGTTGTGAGTGGTTTGATGATTATTGTTGTTGTGGTTGTGAATCTGATGATGGTGAGCTTGGAAGTGAAGGCACAGACACACAGAGTTCCTGCTTTGTTTGTGTTTGGAGATTCATTGGTGGACGTTGGAAACAATAACTTGTTGAACACTTTGGCAAAGTCTAATTACTTTCCTTATGGAATTGATTTCAGAGGTGGTCCTACTGGTAGATTCTCCAATGGCTTCAACATTGCTGACTTCATTGGTAATTATTTTTATTAATCAAACTTTGCGATTATGTTATACATATATGTTGAGTCAGATCCTTATAATTTTCTGTGATTATTTTTATATATTATATTAGTTTAAAGTCTATCATATCTCTTTTATATTTATAATTGAGATTTTAGGAGAAATTATTTATCAGTTAAATTAATATTTTTAATTTATAAAAGGCTTTATATATATATATATATATATATATCTAATCTCTCCATCTAAAAAGAGAAAATTATAGTAATTTTTATTTTCTATAATAAAATTTCTCGCCATTACTCATGCGATTTTTGTCCTACAGTAAAAGATTTCCCTTGTTAAATTTTTTGTATTATCTTTTATTATTTTCTTTAATTTTTCTATAAATTCCAATTATTTTATCCTTTTTTATTTTGCTTATCATTTTCACACTTTCTAACAAAAAATATGTGTGTGTATTATTGTATGCATTGATTATTAATTTTCTTTTTGGAAAACGAAGTTTTTCTTGATGATTTTTATTGTTAATCCATTTGGTGATACATGTTATTAAGTCAATTTAATTAAAAAGTCATATTACTATTTGCTTTCTTTCTTTTGCTTTTTTCCTCCTTTACTCAGTTCTACTTTTTCTGAAATCTATCATTAATTAGATCATTAATTTGAGAAAAATATATTTTTGATGCATTTGAAAGTAAACAAACGATCATGCTTTGTTATCAGTTCTTAAGAAAGTTATTACCAGATTTAAAATAAAATTACAACTCTAACCAACCTTCTATTTTTAAAAAAAAGTTATCAATATCCTCCAAGATATGTATATCTTCCTTAGGCCTATGTATATTTAAAAAAAAATCTTACACGTTTTAAGTTTTTTTTTTTTTTCCTCTCTGATACATTTCAATAGAGTAAACGTTAGAAAAATAAAAACAACACTTAAAAATATTTTAAATTTAAAAAAAAAAAGTGGGAATATGTTCGCAGGAAACCTGTTAGGTGTCCCTCAAGCAGCAGCATTTGCAAACCCCACAACAAGGGGACCCACAATACTTAATGGAGTCAATTATGCTTCTGGGGCTGCTGGCATCCTTCAAGAAACTGGCCGTCACTATGTACTGTACACTTCACTCTCCTCATTATATGCTTTGAACTTTTCATTAATACTTTCATGAATAATAAAATTTTTAATCCATCAAGTTATTTTAGTTAGTAATTTAATTTTTTAAAATTAATTTTTATCAAATTCATTATTTATATTTATCTTAATTTTTAATTTAGTTTTTATTATTTAAAAAGAATGTAACACTGTCAAAATCTATTGATATGAATAGTAAAATAATGATGATGGTAAACATGTAAATTAATAAAAATATAATTATTTAAATAAAAAAACAGACCCGTGAATTGAAAAAAAAAAATAAAAGAACAAAATACAACATAATGGATTACCTTAGTAAAATTAAATTGACTTAAAAGCTAATTTGTTTTCATGTAACTATATATATACATATCAAGTTATTATCATATTTTACACATTAGATTTATTTAAGAGTCCATTTATGTTTGAAAATTTAAAAAAAATATAAAAAACCAAAGCAATATTTGAGATAAATCTAAAAGATTAAAAGTTTCATTATCCTATAATTTTATTATTCAGGAAAATTTAATTTAATTAATCACCATGTTTTAGCCCAAAATGTTATATTTTACTTTGTGCAACACTTGATTAAATTTGTACATTTTTTATACAATCATCTGATTTCTTACTATCTTAAAGATAAAAACGTAGATCACATGCATTGCATGATAAAAGCCATACAATTCAAAACTTGTACTTCCTTTGTTTCAAAATAGTTGTTTTGTTATTTAAGGATATGTACGCAAGATGCATGTTAAAAAATCCATTAAATAAGCGAAATTATGGATAGTTACAATTACAATAATATTTGACTAAAATGCCATTATAGTAAAATATTAAAAATATTTTATCTTGCCCAAAAATATAAAAAAATATCGTTCCCCTTTATAAGTTCCACCCACAAAATACTTGATATTTGCTTAAAATTTTAAAATAAAATTAAAACTCTAAATTTAGGTTTTTTTTTTATATTTAAAAATTCATTGATCCATTTAAACTCTATTTTGCATGTTAATAGAATCGAAATTAAAAGGAACATTAATTAGTTGTACAATATTATGAGCAGGGCGACAGGTTTAGCTTGAACCAGCAAGTGTTGAACTTTGAGAACACATTGAATCAATTGAGAACAATGATGAATGGAACAGCATTGAGCCAATACTTAGCCAAATCAATAGCAATTTGGTGTTTGGAAGCAATGATTACATCAACAACTATCTCTTGCCTACACTATACAATTCCAGTTACCTTTACAATCCCCAACAGTTTGGCAATCTTCTCCTCAATAGCTATGCTCGTCAAATCCAGGTAATATTTTTTTTTTTTTTTTGGGAAGAACATCATTAAAGAACCGCTGAAAAAATTTAATATCTAACAAAAACTTTTAAGTAAACATCAATAATTAAAAGTGAAATTGTTTTCACAAGTATCCAATTTGTCCAAACCCTTCATTGATATTCTCCCTTCTTTTTTTCTCAGTAGCTGTTTTTGCATTCATATTCTAGTCACATTTTCCATTTCAAAATATCTTTCAAGCCAATATTTGTATTTGGTGCTAATTCAGATTCAAATTTTATCAAACCCCAAATAAAAAAATAGCCCCTTCAGCGTGATTTTATCATGTTTTAGTTGAAGAGCTTGATATCAAATACGCTTGAAAAAACACCCAAGTATTAAAAAAACATGAGTCAATCTAGACAGACGTACCTATATTGAAACACAGCCACACACACACAAGTATAGGTTTGAACCTATGACCTCCCTCACAAAGAGGGAGGATTTTATGCCACTGGATCCATAGGATTTGGCATTAAAACCCATGATCTGTTCCGTCTAGATTATCAGTTGTCCTTATCGATAATGAAGTTCGACCCCCATATCAGTTAGAAGTAGTGAAGTACGTGTATGAGTGCAGACAGGTAGCTTCACCATTTAGGTACTACTTTTGTTAGGTAATTTTTATAGTTGGTTTAGTCAGAAAACCAATATATATATATATATATATATCAACAATTGATTTTGTGCAGTGATGTAGATATCAAATACATTTGGCAATATACCTAGACATTAAGGATTTATTAGGAGCTGCATTATTGAATATGGAACTGTTGGGATTTGCAGGCACTATACAGTTTAGGGCTAAGGAAGTTCTTCCTAGCAGGAGTAGGACCACTGGGATGCATTCCAAACCAACGAGCAAGTGCCCCACCAGGAAGGTGTGCAGATGGCGTGAACCAGATGCTTGGGACCTTCAATGAAGGCCTGAGAGCAATGGTTGACCAGCTCAACAAGAACCATCCTGATGCCATGTTTGTCTATGGCAATACTTATGCTGTTTTTGGTGATATCCTCAATAACCCTGCCGCCTACTGTAAGATTTCTAATCTCATCTTAAACAACTTGTGTCTATATTAATTTAGATCCTCTTGAATCTTACACATGTGAAGTGTCTCTATAATCTATCAGAGATAGAGAGTATGTACAAGACTCACTGCCTCATTTTCTTTCTTATTCTCACTTCAGATTCAGAGACAATCAACAGATTTTTCTTTCAAATTTAAAAGTTACGACTTTTGTTTGTGTGTATCCTTTGAAGTTTGTAAATGATTTTGATCTTACTGGCACAAGAAACACATGCATACCTATGAAACAGAAAGAGACCATAATAACTTATAGGATTATGGTGCAAAAATAACTAAAAACTTTAAGGATCGGAAAATGTTGGGTATTTTATAAAATTAATGGTTACCCATACACCATTGTTGTCTTAAGGATATCAAAAGCTTTTGGAGAAAAAATTTATGAGTATTTTTGCACTTTGACCCTAGTTTATAAGGTTCCCTTTCTACTGTCTCTCCCACGCACATTTTAAAAGTGCTTCAAAGACTTCTGTTTATGTAGTCTAAAGTGCCCATATGATCCTTAAACAACCTGCCTGCATATTGATTTTGATTTTCTAAGGTATGAAATCTGTGAAGGGCCAATCAAATAGAGACTGCGGTAAGTAAAATTTAAAACTCCCTCTTTTCTGTCTCTTTATTTTAGATGTACTTCACATGCTCCATTTCGTATGTCACATCCAAAGTGTATATATAAATCCCATTTTAAACATGGACCTGGCTTCTCTCAATGCATTAGAGAGAAGCCTCCTCTGCCTCTCCTTTGAGGCAAGGCTAATCTAAATCAAATTTCTGACTGTCCAAATTTAATATTTTTATTTTTTATTTTTTATTTATATTTTTAAAATAAAAAATATATGAAAATTGTAAAAAAAATTAATAAATATATTTATCAATCTAGACAGTCTAGATTTAATATATTCTATTTTTTATTTTTTTTTATATTTTTAAAATAAAAAATATATGAAAATTGTAAAAAAATTAATAAATATATTTATTAATCTAACAGTCCCGATTTAATATAGATGGTCCAAATTTAATATTAATTTTTTAATAAATTTACTGCTCTATTCAGAATATATTTACAATGTTCAAAATATATCTAAAAAAGTCAATTTAATTTTTTGTATTAAATTTGAATCATCTATATTAATTCTGAACTGTCATATGTTTATTAAATTTTTTTTACAATTTTTATATATTTTTTATTTTAAAAATATAAATAAAAATAAAAAAAATTAAATCTATCTAAAAGTCCAAATTTTCCTCTGCCTCAAAGGCTTTCTCTGAAAGGAGAGAAGCCGAGTCCTTTAAACATCTTGTTAATTTAAATTCTAAGTGTGAAATCCCTCATCTCTCGAGCAGAGTGACAAATATGTAGGAATATTAGACTCACTTAAAATTTTACCCCTTCTCTCTCCCTCCCTCTCACTCACTCTTGAGAGACACTCCGCAAACTTCAACCATTAGGATCTAAATTTTTGAGATTGTGGGGGTGTGTGTCCTCTTCTCACATAAAAGGATATGATAAATTAATTTGACCACAATGGTACTATGGCGATGTTGTGCAGCATTCAGTGTGATTGATAGAGGCTGCTGTGGAATGGGAAGGAACCAAGGGCAAATAACATGTCTTCCATTTCAAGTTCCATGTCCAAACAGAAGCCAATATGTGTTTCTGGGATGCCTTCCATCCAACACAATCTGCAGCATATGTCTTCTCTTGGAGAGCTGTTAATGGCCCACCTTCTGATTCTTATCCCATTAATATTCAGCAGATGGCTCTTCTTTAGCTATCTGCACACTCTGGCCAAAATGTACCAAAACTATCTGTACTAGCAAGCTCTATTTCCCTGGCAGAATAAAGTAATAATATAGATCGTATTTCTCTATCACTCATTTCAGTTTCTATATATATATATACACACACACATATAAGCATCTAAATAATAAAGTTAGAATTTTAGAACCTGCACGTTATATGTGCACCGGGCAAAATACAAGAGTCTACAATCATTTCACCAAATAATCACTAGCATCTTGATTTTCACAATCATAAAATATTGATAAATTAGTTAGGGTCTGATGTGCTTCACACAAGATAATATTGGACCCATCAGACTTGTATCAAAATTAACTAGACTATGAGCGCCATGTTTTATATGAAATTTGATGTGAACTAGATTATTATGATTATGAATAATGCGACTTCATTCATACTTGTATATATTAATATATCACATTACCCAAACACGTCGAGTATCAAATGCTAAAGATTGATTGCAAAGAATCCAAAAGATAGATGACCTGGAAAATTCCGCTTGCTACTACGGAAGCTTGTGGAGGCCACTTTCAAATGACCATAAACAAAACGGCTTCCTATTACTACCATCCCAATATATATGATCCCCTTCCAATTAATAGACGAAGACTGCATACAAAAGAAGATATAAATGGCAGTCACAAACCATTGGAACTTACATGGCAGAACCAACTGATTATGATGCATCTTCATGATAAAGGTAAAGCCCTAGCCCAAAGCGTGCACAAGCTCGACGAAAAGCCATAGCTTCTGCTTTCTGTAAAGGATCTCCATAACTTGTGTCATCCAATTCAGCAGTACCAGTTGACTCTCTATAAATCTACAGAACAAGGGGGCATTACGGATGAAAAAACAATAATGTGAAGAAGAAAAGTTCAACATAAATTATAGCAGCATAATGCCTAGTGCCTCAATAACTGGAGCATATTTTTCCTTCAGTGACTACACAGAAAGATTAAATAAGAATGAGTTTCAAACATGGATGTGTAAATACATGAATTTCAAAAGCAAAGATGCAAAAAATAATGCACACTCAACTTAAACAGGTTTGATGTTTACAAGTAGAAAGTATAAAGAACGAACCATGCTGTCCTTGCGTGACATTGTCTAAGTGTTTAAGTAGGACGACTAAATCATTATTTTTATAAATACCCAGCCCTGTGAAGCTCGGTATATGCATACTTGCATAGCACTCATGTTTAGCCAATGTTGCAGGCATATGACCTCACCTACTACTTTTGATTAACATTTTCAATATAAGAAATTATCAATATTAGACATCTTGTTTTTGTATATTGATTAAAATGCTCAAATCTTGTCACCAAAAAAACTGCTCAAATCAAACCCAATAGTCAAGATATAAAAAGATGAGGGAAAAAAATTATCAATATCCAATAACAGAGTACTTCATGTACAGGTTCAGTAGACTCCCATCAATGAATACGCTCGATGTATAAGAGAATTGATGTAACTATTTAATGGCTCCACTATCTTAAGTTATTCCTTTAACAGCTAAATTGTCATGGCCATCTACATTCTTGCCATTGTGAAATGCTCTTTCCAATCTCCATTGACTCTTTAGCTGTACGCACGTTATTTATACCACCTATAGATAATAGAGAAACTGGGCTCGACTTGAATAGTCATCTAAAATAGGAAACCTGCTTCATGTTTCTACTTTCAATTGCAATCCTGAGTATTTTAAAAGAATGACGCATGAAGAAGGCATTCCCATATGCATTTGATTTGAAAGATATACACATTTTGTTACTAAAACCATCGTACATCTAGGTTTTAAGGGTTAAACCAAGGAGTAAAAGTGCAATGTGATAACTTATATGGTACAAGAAGAACACAAATAGTAGAAAATAGTTAATCAAGCTGACTAATGTAGCAAGTTTTAAGGAAGGACAGCCTTCAGTTATATGTTAGCTTGTGTGCATGTGTTCAAAGAAGAGCCATTCAAACAATGAGATACACGTCACGAAGGATTTATTGTTTGCCCATATGCTATAGACCCAACTTCTAAGTCCAAGACACTTTCTATATGTGTGGAAATTCATGTTTCTACTTTATATACGAGGAAGAAACTCTTCAATTTATAATTAAGCATTAAAAAGAAAAAATTTGAGAAGATATAGTAAATGTTTTCCTACCAATCAAGAAAGTTTTGCTTCTTTTAATATTTTATTTGTAGAACAATTAGCATGCAAAACACGAATTTTGATGATCAAATTTTTCTTTCAGTTACAAAAGGAGAATTTGAGTTTTCGACCACTACACTAACCCTACCGAACCCATACCACTGGAGCTAGCCTCAAGCTCAAGTGGCTAGTGATGAAATTATTTTTTAAAGACAGAAATATCACGTATAATAAAAAAATAATAGCAATTCACAGCATGAAATCAAACAAAAATTTGAAAATACATGTTGGGGAACAAATTAAAAAAAAAAAAAAAAAGTATGATGCCAGTATCAAAAGTGAAACAGAAAATTGAGTTACGTAACTTGAAGGCAAAAGAATTGATACCTCTGCATCAGTGCCATAAAGGGTCACGCGATAAACTACCGAGACAGTCTTGCCATCAGCACCGTAGCTGATATTTCGAACTTCACCAGACCACTCTATGAGAAATTATAATATTATAGATTTCATTGTGATAGACATTTCAACAAATCAGATATCCAAAAATAAAATCATCATTTAAAGTACGATAAGACTATCTGCTTACCAGCAGCATGTAAGTTCATAATACGGTTGACGACATGCCTGTACAAGAAATAACACAGCAATAGGAAAATAAGGTAAACTAACGAGGGCGGGGTTTAATCTACTACATTAACAAGACCCAACAGGACGATAGCAGATGACTACTTCACACTATTATTAGAACAAAATAAAAGATGATAAACAACGATACCCACATACCAAGACACAGGATACCAAAATTTGAATGAATATACTTTTATATTATTTTCATTTTTCCTGGGATCTAGACAAGGAGAATACTGGAAGTTTAAAAACAAAAAATGGGAATACCAGGGAATGTATTTAATAGGGAACCCATCTTTCTCAACGCGAGTTTTGATTAATGAATCAGGGACTTTCTTGTTCAGCTCCTTAAGTATTTCAGAGAGGGGCCTGCTGATTCCAGAGGTAGGAACGACGTCACCGTTATCGTCGCGGAGTCTTTCACTCTCTGTTGCAGAAGCAGAAGTAAAAGAAGATGATTTGGGATAAAAGCGCCAATAGCTTAGAGGAAGGACCGGTTTCGACTTGGAAGACGAAACAGAAGAAGCAGACGTTGATGATGAGAGCGCTCGAGCAAGAGATTTCAATCTGAGAGAAGAAAACGCCATTTTCTTTTGGGTTCACTCTGAAAACTGGACCAGGCGCACTAATTTGGGGGTTCGAAGGGTTTTGTCTTCCTAAGGCTTTTTAAATTCCACTTTGGTCCTTTTGCACTCCCCGCCATTTCTATCGTGAATGGATTTAATCAATTAAATTAACGGCGCATTTATTTAAAATTAAAAAAAGTTAAATAGTTTAGATATTTTATATAAAAAAATTATTTGTAAAAATTTTATAATAAGCAGACATTATTTTATATTTAATTAAAATGATAAAAAAGTGATTATTAATTAGTTATTTTTAAATTTTATAATATCTTAAATGATTTATTATTATATTATTTTAAAATATTATATTATATTATTATATAAATGATTTATTATATGTTATTTTAAAATTTTGTGATATCTTCATATATCCTGCTTCTTTAACACATTCTTTTTCATCTACTACATTAAATTATTTTTAAAAATTACTTAAAATAGCTTCTTAAAATAATCAGAGATGTTTTTTCATATTTTGATTTTTTTCAAAAGTTTAAACAAATATAATAAAAATTCACAAAATAATTTTTTTTCAAAAATAAGTTATTTTTCATAAAATAAGCTAAAACAAACTGGCCCTAAATTAAATAACTATGACTTCAACCTTTAAAAAATTATTATAAAATATAGTATTTTTAACTAATTCTTATTTTAGAAAATATTTAATTTAATATTATTAAAAATTATCTACTCTTTTTATACCTACCTTAATTTAATTTAATATAGTAACTTAATCATAAATAAATTAAGATAATTGAACTAATTGAGCAGTAAATGGTTTGGCAAGAAAAGAGGTTCTTAGTACATAATTAAACTTTATGAAGCTTGCATATATGAATTGGTTTTTGAGTAAAGCTATCTTGAGCCTTTGACATGCTCTAAAAAATTCAGCTTAGACATGAGGATTGAGCTATGGCATTGGACAAGGACTATATCCTCTTGTTATGAACTTATGATGCCTCTTGGTACTATATCCTCGATCAAAATTGTGACTTCAACCTAACAGAATACATTAAGGAAATCCCCATTAGTATATAGGTTTAGAGACAACAGATTGGGATTTTGCCAAAGGTATGGTATGGACTACATGAGATAAGATGATGAAATGTGGATATGAGGAATGTATAGAGGCAACATTCAAAACATTAGCCATTAGCTCTATCCCACTTCCTAAAGTGAAGATCTTATAAAGAAGAAGAGATGAGGAAATTAAGACAAAGAATAGAAGTAAATTGTTAAATGTCTCCCTCGGGATATCTAGTGTTGGACTTTGAGTTGATTTTAGATCAGGAAAAATGTTGTATGATGAAAAAGTAAGCTCCCTGTCTATCTCTAATTATTAGAACGCTTGTCACCTGGTTGCTCTTAATGCTAGAAGAGCAAAAGGTGCCAGCAGTAAATAACAATGTTGATTGTTGAAGAGGAACCTTATTTAAAACCATAGGGAGGGAGACTAGTTATGGGAGAACAAGTATAACTACACCCTCTAGGGTCTATGAGATGAAATGAATGACATATCAAATGCAATTTCATTTGAATCTATTTTAGAAGAAATGCCTAACAATGAGCTAGTA